TTTTTGTCGCGTGTTCTATGATTTCACAAACGAAATTTTATTTACAATTTTAATATTTCATCAGTGTGACAACAACAAATATTGATCGCTTAAAAAATGCGCATACTACTTTGTACATAATTTGTAGATAAACGATCCTATTTTTTTTCACAGTGCATTATTCACTTTTGTCACAAGGTTAATATATTTAAATTTTATATAGATATATTTTATACAGATACACAACGCCTAAAGTTTAAATTGTTCAGATATGGACTAAATGAGCGGAACGTGACTTGCTTACGCGTATGACTTTTAATCGTAATATGATATTCGACACGATTGTACGTATTAGCAGTTTTACACATTAGCGATTGCATTCCATGATGCTATATTTATATCTGTAAGATACTTCCGCAGCACGTTTCGCGTTAATGAAGCATGAAAGTTTGTACTTTTTGATTTTCAGATTTCTCTTAGAAAGTATGCAATCATTTTCATTGTATGCAAGTATTCTCATTGTTTTACGATTAGATCTGCGAAAATTGATAACATTTATTTTTACGCGTCAGATAAGTCAGATTAAGGATACTTGTATATTATTGTACATTTATAATGACACTAATAAAAAAAAAATGTTCGTTCAAAAAGACGGAATCTTTTTTCATAATTTTAACGTAAATGATAAGTTGTAATAAAAATTTTTGAGAAAAATGCGAAGACTGCAGCTTGATTAACGTAGTTTTCTGTTTAAATGTTTCTGTTTAATTTCTGTTTAAATGTCACAGCTGAATAAAATTGGCTGTAGAAAAATTATATCGACGGTATTCAATGTTGCAAGGGGAGAATTATTTATGATCATTCCAGAACGCCATATTCATCGGGGTTATCATTTTTGATTCTAAGGTCAACAGATTGTTCGAGTTCGAATTTATTCAAACCTGTTCAATCACAAAGCGATTCTCGAAAACAAGTAGTTCCGGTTTTCTTATTGCAGCCATATTGAAATGATGTCAAAAGCGAGAAACTTTTTCTTTGCGATATACATCGAGATAAATTCATTTTTTTTAAATATGCCATCCCGCATGTCGATACCAAAACTGAGGAAGATATTGAATGTATTTCCATTTCATAGTTTTAAATTATTATCATTTTCGCTGACGAATTGGATACACAGTACATTCCTAATAATGCAAATAAAAAATATGACAAAAAAAAAAAAGGAAATATCTGGTATAAATCAACTATATACGCTATCGAGAGTTAAACGTTTCGTGCATATGCAAGAACCAATTTGTAATGAATGAAAAAAAGATATAATGTATGTAAATAAGAATTTGCATAATTCCACGTCAAAGGACGTCGATGTGGCCACGAGTGTGGCGATCGGGAGAGTCTTTGGGGAGTCTTGCAGAATGGAAAAAGTTTCTTCGAGAATCGATCTCTTAATCGATAATGATTAAATCGCCGCGCGCCTCGGTCGTGCCTCGGCCGCACGCTGGCGGCTGTCAATGGCGCCTTTTTTTAGCGAAAGCACGCGCGATTTCTGTCTCGCCGACGTAATCGTCGTTACGTCGCGTCGAACCGCGCGCTCAGTCGATCGCGGTCGTCGCTTACGGACGTGTCTCACCTCGCCTCGTCCGAGCCTCGTGTCCAAGCGGCCGCATGATAGCCGGTTATAACATCCACACGTATCGCAGGAAAGTCAAAAGCGGAGTGGAGAGAAAGAGAGCATATGTCACTGCCGTCGTAGACGAGGGAAGAGCTGACGCACAATCTACGCTTGGCGTCATCGCGCGGTGAAACTTCGCGCCATGTGTCTCGCGCGGAATCAAACGGTCAAAAGTTCCCGACTGGTATCCGTCCTCGTGTGATGCCCTCGAATTTTTTACAGAGCGATTCAAAAGAGCTCCCCCCGAGCGTTCCTCCTCTCGCCTCTTGCTCATGTTCGCGCGATAATGCGGTCGGGATCGACGAGACGATTATACGCTGATCGTTCGTGAATCGTGGGTGGCCGATAACGCGATAAGATTTCGCGGATTTCAGGAGAGATACATAACGCGGAAGAAAAAACACGAAATAAAAGAACGGAAACGGTGACATTTTCTGAAAAGAAGTAAAAGGAAAAAAAAAAAAAAAAAAAAAAAAAGAAAGAACCGCTGTTTGGAAGAAAAACAGGCGCTGTTTTTGAAAGCACCGCCACAGTGTGCGCGGCGCGTTATACCCGGTACGACAGAAACCTAGAATCGGACTGGGAATGAGATAATTCCGGATTTTAGTTCCTTTCCTCTTTCTCCAAGGTTAGTAATGCATCAACCGTGTCAAGATATGCATTCTTGAAGAATGAACCAACAAAAATTCTTTTTCGTCGGGATGAAGATAAAAAGAAAAGAAAAAAAAAAGAAAGAAAAAAAAAAGAGGACAAACGATCATTCTTCGGAATTCTTCGAGTGTCGCGTGTAAAATGTAGCTCTGAATATCACCAGTAGATTTAATTTTTCTTTTCCTACCAAACCGGTTAGATATGATTCAGAAGTTTTTGTCAACCACCAGTCTCCCAACCACGCAAGAAATAAAGATCCAGATTGAGTGGTTGCTGAGACACAAAAAAAAAAATTCTTTCTTGCGAATCTTCAAAGTAGGACGATTAAACTTTAAACGCTGCTCATTATGTCGTTATGTCCATCAGTAGATTAATTTTGATCTCGGTTTAATTTACTTTTTTTTTTTCTAATTCCTGAAACTAGGGAATGATAAAAAGTTAAACTTAAAATTAAAGTTAATCTATATCGGTGGAAATGAACATTAATTAAGTAATTACAAAATATGCCGTTTTTCTGAACACACATTTTCGCTGAAAGAAAAGGAATTTTCGTTGCTTCATTCACGTGTTATTTGTAAAACTAATCAATATATGCTTACGCAAAAAAAGACAGATAAGCAAGGGAAATTCGATGGAAAAGGAAGCGAAAGAGTAAATAAAGACCAGCATATTTCACGCAGCTTTTACCGATCGCCGATTAAAAGAATAGCCCGTTCATTGCTAATCATTAAATCCTAAACATTCTTCATGATTCCGTCGCGGCAGACGTATCTTTATGAATGTCCACGCAGAACACGTGACTAAGTATACTAAATATAAGAAATGATTCTATTTATACGATAGCAATGCACTTCCGTCGACTGGTCGGTAAACGCTGATTATCCTCTGTTGATGCGATTAATTATTACCGTTCAATGTATGTCACGTCACGAGTTAGACAGGAAGTATCTAATTATCGTTAAAAAAAAAAAATTGAACGTTTCGAATTTAATAGAATCCTACGTGCAACTTTTTAAACGGCAGTTTTTGTTCACGTGCCTATTATTAGTTATTTATTATTATTCTTTTCATTTCTATTATCTTGACATTATAGATGGATAAACACGACTGTCGGTGTTTTACATAAAACGATAATGCGCAAGATATCTGTAACTTTCTTTGTCAAGGATTTTTTAATCCGAAGCGTCGTCCATAAGTTCGTCCATTTGGTTCATTTAATCATTTTACAAAGGCGCGCGATAATAAATGAATGTCGACGAATCTGCGGACACAGATTTTTGAAAATTCTGACATGGAATCGAATCGCCGAGGCGATTCGAATATTAATTATTAACGCAAATTCCATCCCGAGAATGGTTCTGACAACCGATAAATAAAATGAAAACCGACGCAAGGTCCCGCGATCGGTTTACCAACGGACTACTTTCTGCTCGTTAACGCTCGCGACTCGGCAATTGACCCTGGCGATTGATCGGGAAATAACAGAACTTTGAACTCAGAATTGCACGCAGAAATAATATCGACCGTCAAATTTTACCGTGCTTTACCCTAGCATCATTTCCATAACAATCTCTCATGATAACTTCGTAAGAATGTTTCGAAATACTAGAGGAAATAGAATAATGTAGAAAAAAATGGAATAGAAAAAAAAAATAAAAAGATATGTACAAAAGTAACAAGTAGGAATGCGTAACGATCTACATTTTTTCACATCTCTAATTTGCTGTTCGCTTCTCCTCAGCTGTGGTTCCCTTTGATTAGATCCTTATCTTTCTCTGATTAGACTATTGTACCTATCGTAATCGCAGTTCTTTCGTCGTTTAATATGAAATACGAGATTTTAAAAATGACGATAGCACTACGAGCTATAACTGAGAGCACCACCGCGATTGTCATTCAGTGTTAACAAGACTAAATTATTAGCACGTGCAAAGAAGTCATAAGTCAGTGGCTCCTTAACAAGGAAACGATAGCGAGTCAGTAACAATACGGTCATGATATCCTTTACGATCAATTGATGACGTGTGAGCGACATGTATCCTTGGTATATTTCTTAATTGTCACGCGGAGAACTTAATTATTGTATAAATTGATAGACACTAAACTAATGTAAAAGCGTTGCGTGACGCGGGACAAATAAAAAAATTAAGTAAAAAAATTAAGTAAAAAGATTCCTGGCGATACGCCAGTCGAGATAGTCCTTGCTGTAGGACTAGCCGGATTAAAAATATCAATGTCGGCTTCGTAATCT